TGGAGACCCCAATGGGGGAAGATGCAGAGGTGGCCGTGAGTGGGCAGTGCCGGGAAACCTGAGGAAAGGTGGAGAATGGCAGACACCGGGTGGCATCAGAGGGTCTTTTATAATCACCCGGCTACACCAAGCTTGCCGTCCTGGAGTAGCCAAAGCCGTAGTAGGTTCTCATCTGCTCCAATCGTAGAATTGTCAGCATCGCAACCAACAGCGTCGTCTACAGACACCACAAGGCACTGTCAATCAATAGCATATGGGATCACAGAAGACCGAAAAAAGTACCATCTGAGAAACCTCTACCCCACGCGTGGGTTGGTGGTACTTGAAGTTAGCTGACACTGAAAGGTAGAAAAAGGAACTGAGAGTGATTGAACAAAAAGATGCCGCCTGCAGCAGGAAGCGGGGACTCCATTTCATCGACCAAGTAAGGCATAAAAGAGACAAGAGCATACCGCTGCTAAAAATTAAGTTAGCTGACATTAAAACACGTTGATGGATTACAAGGTGAAAGAGATGTCGAGAAATGAGATAAAAGATAGGTCTCTAAGAATTAGTCATTCAGCTGAAAAGGTTTGCGAAAGAAGGGTGTGTTTTAACTCCCTCAATCGACCTTCACACCAGCGGAACTGGTTATGGTGGACCTTGTCGGTGAATTTCAACGCCCATTCCCGGCTGCAGACGGCGTCGGCTTGCTCTATCTCTCGTAAAGCTGCTTCTAACTTTTCTGCTAGGGTCTCACGGATTACCGGGTCGTCCTCAATCTCACAGAGCCACATTGGCCGTCTGCTCCCATTGGTAGGACTGGGTCGGCTGGGTAAGATTTGCGTGCGTAGGTCTAGGAGCTTCCTGCTCAGATAGTACTTTTTTCCTGTTCTCTGCGATCCGGTAAACTACATCACAAGATACAGATTGTCACACGTTTATACGATAAAAAGGCGACCCAATGACGATTGGCATCTCGTGATGCCTCTCCCCGGATCGCGGAGAACAGGAAGAAGTGCTATCTGAGCAAGAAGCTACTAGACCTACGGACGCAAATCTTACCCAGCCGACCCAGTCCTACCGACGGGAGCAGACGGCCAATGTGGATCGGTGAGATTGAGGACGGCCCGGTAATCCGTGAGACCCTAGCAAAAAAGTTAGAAGCAGCTTTACGAGAGATAGAGCAAGCCGACGCCGTCTGCAGCCGGGAATGGGCGTTGAAATTCACCAACAAGGTCCGCCATAACCAGTTCCGCTGGTGTGATGGTCGATTGAGGTAGTTGAAACACACCCTTCTTTTGCAAACCTTTTCAGCCGAATGATTGATTATTAGAGACCTGTCTTTTATCTCATCTCTCGACATCTCTTTCACCTCGTAATCCATCACCCCTTTTTAGTGTCAGCCAACTCATTTTTTATCAGTCCATTTGGTGTACTTACCTTCTTGCATGCATCTTCTGTGAGTTCGAGTGAGAGCTTTGAGTTTTTGTTTTGGTCTACCAGTGGAAAAAGTTTAGTTTGCAATGGTTACTTTGAGGAATGAAGATTGTACCTCATTGCCTGAAATAATTTGAGTTGTTGATTGTCCGAAGTTGGTGCTTGGAGGATGGCGAGAAGGAGGTGGTTTCAGCATCCCTATATAGATGAAGAAGAATGTTACAATACCATGTTCTAGAATTTTTGCAGCTATAGAGAAGGTACCTGTTTTATCTCAAGTGTCGAGATCCTCGTGGACCCTGGTAGAGGATCCAGATGGTTGTGACTGGGGAGTGAGGGAATGGGGAGAATGAGGGCGAGAATGGCTGGGACCGGTGGGCAGGAGAGAGGGTCTTTTTATATTCACAAGGCAGCGGCACCAGGGCTCCGCATGGTGGAGCAGCCAAGCCCACAGTAAGTGCAGCAGCTGAGCCGGTGGCAGGATTGCGCTCAGCATCCAAGCTGCCCTCCCGCTCATCATTAAGCTTACACCAAGGCAACTGGATTGTCTGCAAACTCCGTAAGACTGCGAGAGCACACTCAAAATCCACAGCGCCTCCAAAATGCTCAGCACTAATTTTTGAACCTCTTCAGCGGCTTGGATTTTTGGAGCGCGTTATAGTGATCCAGAGTAGTTGTTTTGGTAGCCGTTCAGTCTTCATTTGGCCTCAACCAATCATCTGCCTCTGGCATCAGTGATCACCTTATACGACGTTAATCCTAATGCCAAAGACTTGGATCCTGCCCGTGTATAATAAGGGCCTATATTGACTGATTACAAAAGATATATTATGATCGAGCGTCGTTTCCCTTTTGGACACGGCTTATCTTACACCCAAGTTTGGGATAGTTAAAGACGTATTATGATGTCGAAAAGCTTGGTTATCAGACTACCGTACTACATCCAGATTGCAAAATCCGTTTTCTACTCTTTGGGTGAAGATCACTCAGGGCCCTCCATTCCGGAGGAGGCGTATCATATCAGGTTCTTCAGTGACCAACATTGGCCCGAAAAGACGGGACAGAAGTTGCACAACTGCAGTAGTACCTTTGGATTTTCCCCGGGGTTTTTAGGGGGGAACCAGCCCAGCTCCTTGGCGGCTTTGAAGGCCGTCCAGAGATCGGCCCTTCACAGACAGTTGAAGCCTCGATTTATGCTCAAGGTGCAGGCAGAGGTATTGCTCTTTCCTCATTGTTATCCTCAACACTAGCGCTCCAATGTCTCTTAACTCCATCATACCCACATATGCACACTCGTCCCCCGTCTCCAGATTGGATTGTCTTCATTGATCATGTCCGTGTCTGCTATGTATGTAGGTAATTTGTTTGGGATCATTTTTTTTTTTTTGCTACCAAAGAAAGCATTAAAGAAACAGACACAAACACAAAACTCGATTCAATTCAAGAAACCACGACAAAACGTAAATAAAAACAAGCGTGTAAGTAGTCAAGACAACAAGACAGCCCCAATCAGAAAAGAAAAAGAAAAAAAGAAGAACATGCACGGGAAGATGTGGACCGGAGAGGTCTCGTAGCCTTCAGGCTCATGAAGGAAGACCAGGACAAAGTCCAGGATGTTCTCTTAATTTGCATGATATGTATACGTTAAAAAAAGCAGGAGGGGGGGGGGACTATATTAAATGTGTGGGATAATAGATATAGTCGGGGTCGTATAGAATTTCAGCACTCCGATTGTTCGCATGGGACAAGTCAACAACACAAAAAAGAAAGGAAAGGAAGACACAAAAGGATATATAAGGGGATTCTCTTTTTTTTTGAGGGGGGAGGGGGGGGGGGGCGGAGAAGATGAATGAAGCTTCAGAGATTCAAGGCCGCATTTTAAGGTGAAAAATGAGAGTGTGTGTGTAAGTGTGTAAAGAGAGGGAGAGAGGGGAGAGTCTAGCGGCGACGGTGTTTAGGAGGATTTTTGTGGACGGCCTTAGCGCCGATACCTTGGAGCCCGAACTGCTTAGCGGCGGCCTCGATGGACTGAGTGATTGCCGGGATCATGGCCTTCGCGGCCTCGGCGTCGGCGATGGCAGCGGCAGCCGCAGTGCCCTGGGGAGGGGCGCCGTCGCGGACGAGCGTCGGAGGCGCCCCGCAGGGCGTCCGGAGCTCCTTCAGGAACTGGGCCGAGTCCCCCTTCTTCGTCGGCGAGGCAATCGATCCGCGCTCCAGGAGACTCTCGAACGACCATTGGTATTGCGCTACTTTGTCCGCTAGGACCGCCACCTTCGAGTCAAGTACTCGTAATGACCAGAAGACCGCACCGGAATACCAGGCCCAAGTACTGGAAGAAAAAAAATTACATGATCAACTTGATATATGGTCTTGCTAACACAAACCCATCAATCTCAATATAAACTCTTACTTCAACTGGGCCTCATAGAACGATCTCTCAAACGTCGTGTTCTGGATCCCCGTCCGTAGCGACCACTCAGTGATCACCGTGGTCACCGGGAAGTTCGCATACTTGGTTCCCTTCGTGCAGATCTGGTTGTAGATGTCGGCGGCGTTGGTTTGTGCGGGGAAGTAGCCGATGTATGGATGGTCCGTGTAGATCAACGTCGGCGGTTGGGTCTTGTGGGAGGATGCAAATTCCCACCAGTATGCGAACTTATCACCTGGAACAAATCCCTACCAGATCCCCCGAGAAAACAAAAACCCCCCCGCGAAGAACAGATGCAACTATGATTAAAAAAACAAGTGTGATTGAGGACCGGGGTAAACCCGGAGGGTTAAATTGACTCACATCAGCAAAAAACATCGCCGGGGCTTTGGAACCCAGGGTCTGGATGGTCTCGTAACTACGATCGTAGAAGGCTCGCAACATGGCGCGTTGTTCGGTGGTGTAAGGGCGGGGTTCGTTGACGACCTCGATGGCAGAGATGATGCTCGAGTAGGCCGAGGAGCCGATCCAATCGACAACGGCCTTGACAAGTTGGTCCGAGCGGGCCTGTTGAAGAGGCTGGAAGAAGTTCGGGCTGGTCGTATCTGAGCACGAATCACAACAAAAAAAAAATGCCAAAGGCGACGGGTCAGATTGTGGAGTATGAATCGGAGTGCTCAGAGCGAAGAAATACGCAACTGTGTCCGGATTGTTGCTCCCCATTCTGACTTCCGGGAAGCCCGTGAAGATCGAGGATGATGTACATGTCTCGGGCATAGGCCCAGCCACAGAGACGTTCGAGATGGTCGAGTTGGGTCGTCGAAATGTAGGGCTCCGGGGGCACGGTTTCGATGAAGATCTGGATCGACAGAGTATTGGCAAATCTGAGTAAACTTGTGCACTGGATGGCATGGACTGGAAACTACTGACCCAAAAGCCGAGCGGGATTCGCATGGTGTTGATCCCGGCTTGGTAGAGCTTCTCAACGTCATCCTCAGTCACCCAGGTCGACCAATGTTCCTATGAGACACGCCAAAAGGGAAGAAGAGATGGGGGTTGGTATCAGGACACAAGAAGGGGGCAAAGGTTGGAAAATAAGACGAGAGCCCCCACCTCCAGAGTTTGAGCTGCTTTGTCACCCTGGGCAATCGTGAAACTCCACTCGTCCCATGAATTGGCGCCGGCTTTCTCAACGAACCAATCTTCGACCATCCATCTCTGTGTTTGTCGGAAGAGTCAAATGGAGGATGAAATTTTTCAGTGAGAGGTGTGTGTGTGTGTGTGTGTTTGGTTGAGAGGAATGAGGAAATGACAGACTTCCAAGACGAGCCAATTGCCGAGATTGATGCCGACGATTTTATTGACGTCGAAGTCCCACTTGGGCTTAGGGGCGAGGTCGTTGGGGCCGATCTTGTGGGCCTTGGAGGCAGCCGATGCGGCTTTGGTGGCCGGGTCAGGATGGCTCTCAGATTTAGAAGTGAAGACGACGGCGACAGGGATGACGACTGCACAGATAGCCAGGATGGAGCCGATGATGATGAACGCCCATGGGCGACGTTTCTTGGGGGCAGGGTGGGAGGGTAAGCCTTGGGATGCATCATAGATCGATAGCCTTGCACTCATGATGATGGCGTGGCAGGTCGATCTGGATATACAGTTGGCAACTGAAGGAAGCTGGGACGTACCATAGCCATGAATTGATAATGTGTTTTGTGTTAGTTCTCAAGTTTTGGCAACAGGGAGATGCAGAAATGAGCGGATATAAGAAGCAGGGCAGACAGTGGAAGGGGGAAGGGAAGGGAGGGGTGGATATATTATTCGATGGCACAACTCAATCTCTCTTGAAGCTTGAAGAGGGAGGGATGACTGTTCTCGTGGGAACCTGTGCCGGGGGATATAAAAAAGGCAAGCTGCGTGATGATGGTTGAAACAGCATACACAGACCCACAGGGGTTTGAGCAGGATGGGACGAATGAGGATAGCAAGGATGGCTATGATAGCTTTTTAGGCTCCTGTGTATCCTGTTACAAATGTACTACCGCCCGCAGTAGGAAGAGGGGGGAGAAAATGGGGCGCGGACTGCCAATGGACCAAACAAGAGAGAGGAACAGTCGGGCTATCGTAGCGATAGCAATCCACGCATTCTTCTGCAGTATTGGTAAGAATGATGCCCAAAGTGGAGAATGTATCTTCATGGCTAGGTGGATGTATGTCGAATTTGATGACGACGGCGTTAAAGAGAAATGGTGGATGATTTCTTGGTGGGGTTGTTGTTGTAGTGTATTTGAATATTTGTAGAGCGAGATACTATAGGGAAGCGAAGATTGTCCGACAAGCACTGGGGCTTACCAAGCAGATCGCAGCTAGCTAATCGTAGGAAGGATGGTTATATTCGTTGAGCCAAAAAGAAGGATGCGCCTATATATAGTTTGGGTGGATCGTAATGGGTTGTACCTAGAAGACTTGAGCGATTTAGAGGGTCGAGCTTACTTGCTTTGAGAGGAGGCTGTTTGGAGCTTTTTAGGAGCTTGTTGGCGAGGAAAGGGTGTGGTGAGCTCGGCGGGGGATTGTTGACGGAGCGTTTTTACTGGAGCTTGATCCGAGCGGAGAGTTGATAGAGTGTTAAGAAGGTCGGAAGGGGTCCTTCCAGCGTCCCGGCTCAGGAATCAAGCAACTATTTCTTTTGAGTTGGCTGATTCGAGGGTGAGTTGACAGTTTTAAAGGAGGAGAGGGCTGGCTTGGGCAGTGGCAGCAGGGGGGATGTCAATCAAAACCACCGGACAGGGATGATCCGGACGGGCGACTCGGTGTTAATTGTTTGTTGTAAATAAAATCAGGCTTTTATTTCTCTTTTCGCCTTACTATAATATGTACAATATTTATATGTATTTATATAAAGCGAAGCCAGGTGGGCCAAGGAAATTGTAGCAAGAGTACGATGGGGCGTGTTCTGAGGAAGCGAGTACATAACTGCCGATTCTCAATTAAAGACTCTTCGAGGCGGCGTGTTGTATGTATCCAGTGGAAGAAAAACCTTCTTCTTTCTTCCAGCCGATTCGCTTCCAACAGACGAGTGTAATTCTGATACACAAGGTGTTGTTTGGGCACATTTAATAGAGGATGATGCCGATGAGGGTGCTCTTGGGAGTCTTCTAGAGGCCATCGCCCGGAACTGGTTGGCTCTTGAAGTTTGAACAGTTTGACAACTGATGTGGGTGTTGGGAATCTGGAACGGGCTTGTTATAAGCAGCCTTGGAAACTAAATTGGTTACTGTACTGTGTCTCGAGACTTCACTCAAGGGGATCATTTTGATGTTGGTCCCATTGTCTCTGGAATGTGGGGGGCATATAAAGAGTCTCTGGAAGCTCAACAGTTGATGGCATATAACCAGAAGTTTTCATTCTATTTGCATTTCTTTGGGTCTTGATCAAATACTCCAATGTGATATTATGTACCAGGGGGGTCCATTAAGGAGTTGAGGACTTGATCCCCTGTGTCCTATCACAGAGGCTGAGCATCAGATTTCCAACACTCTGGAGCACTTGATCAGGTGTTGTCCCATCTCAAATCTGCAGACCCTTGAGGATTGGATCTTGCAGCCAGCTAAAAAGAAAACTACATATACATCCCTCCACAAATCTACACTTTTTGGGTCAGCTAATATGTATGACTAAACAAGCAGGTGAACAGGTAAAGCACATAGTAAGAATGGGAGATGGAGAACAAGTGGAAGTCCAACACCCTCCACAACACCAGTGACCAGCCATGCATGTGGAGGGTCCAGTACTAAAGCTTGGTCATTACTGTACCCTCTACTTGCATTATTAACCATGGCTGGTGGTGTGGGGGGGCATGTTCTGAAGTGTGGCAGGTATCTGCAAACAGGTGCAAAAGTGCCATCTCTAACACCACCCATGAGGCATACATACTCAAGAAGGTAAGAAGCTTAAGTGACACATGATAAGTCCTACTAAGTGAGGGCTCTATGTCTAAATAACAAGTGATCAGAGATAAAACAAAGTAAGAAGTACACAATCCAGTAAGACTGATCTCAACTCCAAGTTGAAAAAAAAAAAAAAAACATAGATCTGTGATCACTTAACAGAAAAAAACTACAGAAGTTTGAGGTATTTGATCAAAGCAAAAAGAGAGAAAGATGGAGCTCAAAACTGCAATTGCAAATACGACTAAATCTCTTGAATCAAATTTCAACATTTGATTTCACAGTTTAATAGACTTCTTTTTATTGGGATATTTGATCAGAAATGTTGGTGAGGTAAACATAATGTTTTTAGCTGTTCTTATTTCTCCTTTTTCCACAGAAGATGCCTCAGCTTTTATGGTATTTTTCAGCAGAGAATCCCAATGTTCCCTTCTTACAATATGTTGCAAGTCCTGAATGATTTCTTCTTTTGTTGAATTGATCTCTAGCAAACTTGGGTCTTTTTCCCATGGAAAGACTTTCATTTTTTCCCATTTAGTAAAGCTTTTTGTGGCATGTGGAAAGGATGAATTGTGATCAATTTGCTTGAAGTAAGCAAACATGTTGACAAAGTAATGATCAAACTGGAAAAGTTCCTTCCATTTATTCAAGTTTTTGTATTTTTAGTGCATGACTAGAGCATTAATTGCAACTTTTGTTTTCATAGCATCACAATAATTCACTTGACCCTTCTGCCTCTTGTAGGACCCAGAAAATGTTTGTTCTGAAACTAATTTATAACTTGCCTCTTCACTTGTTATATATGTGAATAGCATCTCATGGGAAATGGACAATGAGAAAGTTCCTTCTTTCAGATCCTCTGTATTGAAAAGTTTTGGTGCTTCAGATGTACCTGTGATGTCAAATAATATGATCAACCATTGAAGAAGCTTTTGCTGCTCACTTGATCTTAATCTTAGTATTTCATGATTTCCAATGCTGGAATTCTTGTTCTTCCTTTTTGAAAATGATTTCCCCCCTGTGAAAGCTATTATAAATTGGCCATCACGGAAGAATATTTCCTCCAACAAGGACTGTGTCCTTTCAATAATTTTTCCTTCAAAGGCCTTTCCAGTTCCATTTTCAATGATGACGCTTTGAATGAGATTTGGTAACTCTCCTTTGGAGTTTGACTTGATTTTTGTCCAAAATTTGCTCCCATGAAGCACATCATTGTTGAAAAACTTTGAATGTTTCCACAACTTGAATGCAGGAAAATTTGATGGATTCATCAATTCATATTCTGAAAGCTTGATATTGAAAAATCTCATTTCTTCACCATGATTTTCAGTTCTTTCTCTTGATGCTTGTTTGATCTTTTTTGCTGGCTTTTTTGGTATTTTTGGAGATGGCAAGTTCAGAATTGTAGGGGATTTTCTTTTCTGGGATGGAGAACCATTTTTGGGCTCCTCATGCAGCACTTTATTGCTTCTTATCAGATCATTACCTTTAAAGTACACAACTCAGTTTGCATGAAACAGCTACTAATATTGTGAAATGCATACCTGAAATTGTGCTTGTGGGATTGGAGGTGCAATGGAATTGAAAGAGAAAATCCTTTGATTGAAATTGGGTATTGGATTCAGTGAAATCTGTCAAACCACCTGTTAGATAATCTTCAACGTGAAGTTCAGTTGAAGGGCTGTAACTGGGCAGCTGATCCTGATGGACTAAATCATTGGTTTCTGACCCTTGTGCTGTTAAAAGCGCATTGCCTGAGCTTCTAGCATGAGTTAAAGGAAAATCACATTTAAACCAATCATCTTCCATTGGGAACTCAGCGAAGCCAAATGTTACATCTTCCACCTGTGGTAAAAATGGAGAAAATGGGCTTGCAGAGGTGGGGTCTTTGGAGTTCAAATGACCTGGTTCTATTTCTATCAAAGAATCACCTAGTTCATAATATTGTTTTCCAGTATGTAGATCAAGCAGAGAAGGTGCTGTTCCAGGTAGATATGCGATGAAGAATACCCAAACAAAGGCAATTTCAAAACCAATGGAAGTAAAAGTGGCTGGATAGTTCATTGCCAAAAAAACTAAGAGTTTTTTGAATGGATTAGAATGAATCTTCCACTGTAAATTTTATTTTAAGCTATAATTGGATGTAACAGTTAATGTGAAATTTCCACACTTTTTACCAAAATTGAATGAACAAATTTCACAATCTTGCCCAGCAATCCTACTGTAGGTGTAACAGTTGAAGATTACTCTCACATGTCATGATATCTATCATGTTCAGCTATGATGACAAAAAATAGTGTATTTTCCAAGAACTAAAGAATTTTTTTCAAATAGTGATGTACTTTTTTATGTAACAGGCAGTACAGTCCTGACAAAGAGAGCTGATACCAAAGTATTCCTCAAAAGTTCCAAAATGCAAGAGAAATTTATCATGATACCTCAGCTTTCTGTATTGTCTTACTGGGCACAGGAACTTTTTGCAATAACAAATCTTATTCTATAGCCTGGAACAAGAATCTCAAGCGATTTTAATAACTCCATTTTTTGACTTACAAAGAGGCTTACCCTTATTTTATGTGAGGTAAATTAAAAATTTGTTGGAAGCCATCAAAAAAGAGGGGCTTTTTGGATTCAGTTTGAGGGAGGTGCCAAGGGTTAACTGCTATGGTACATACATTTGGTGAAACCATCCCAGGAACTCATACACACATCCCAAGGGAATGAGAATCTGCTTGGTTTGGAGTCACATAAGAATACAAAGGGGTACTATTTACATGCTTTCAGATTGATGTTTCAATGAGCTGTAAATACAAGTTCAGTAAATTTTGTGACTACTACAAAATAAAATCAAGACTTTCCCCTATAATTGGAAAAATCTCGGAAAAAAAGACTCAAGATAAAACACAAAACAACAATGATTATCTAAAATATTTATATCCACAAAAGTGGATCTTTTAATGGAGGAAAGACATGAAGGTAGGGAATTCATACTATTTGAAATGATGATCCCATCAAAAAGGTACAGCCATTTATTTTTATGCAAAGAAATATGCAATTCACATGCAAGAAGATACAAAGAAGAAACCTACTAATTTATAATTATCCACTTCCCTTTTAAAACAATATGCTTAGATGCATACGTTCTCAGATCAAAGTGTTGAGATTCATATAGTGTGGTATGCTTATATCAAAACTCATGTTGTATGTAATATACAACTGTTCTGATCCTCAGCCTTTCCTCACTGAATCCAAATAAAATCTAGCTTTGTGCTCAACCAACTGCCACAAGACTCTACCTCTTAAACTTCTAGTTTCTTTAGCTTTAACCACCTCAGCACAAAGTGTCAAAGAATATAGATGCTTTTGGATTTACTGGGAAGAGTTGGATCATGTTAATGATCCTGTAAGTTAATATGGTGTATTGTTCACCAGTTTGGATATGACTCCCACCTGGCAAGTAAGTAATCCTTGTACCTTCCTTCTGAGGGCAACTTACTCAGAAGTGCATGCCAGCTCATCATGGTTCATTGAGTAGGGGTGCTGTGTACCTACCAGCTTGGCAAGAATCTTTCTTGGTGATTGGGCCAAAGGTGTTCTGAAAATATTGAATCTTGCCCTGCAAGCAAGTGCACCATGCCAGCTGGTACAATGTGACTTCTGAAGAGGGTTCTCCCAGACAAATGAGTACATACACCTTATAAATGTTTGCAAGGGAGGGGATTTTTTTGTGATTAGGTATGTTGTACATTGTGCTTGACAGGGAGACATCTTTGATGGAGAGACAGTAGACTGTCATGGGATCTACTCAGCAAGGATTAATCCCTAAAAAGAGGGTATTTTGCCCAAATAGAAGATTGGGAAGGCCAATGATGTGTTGGAACTTGGATTGATCAATCCTGTATGTAGTACTTGCATGCTTGTACTGAGTTTTTATTGATCCTGGGTTAAATGTTTCTTACTTCACTTACTTTGTATTTCAAACAATCCTGTCAAATTATGTTTCTCATTTATCATTCAACTAAAACCATGTCATTTCAAATAATTCATTATGCACATTTTCTTCTAATTAACAATCCTAATATTACAATGCATTTTCAACACTGGTTTTGAGACCTTTTGGACACACCAGAGTGTCTCTAAGGTTGACAAGCTCCTTGGTGGTCATAAGTTCAACACAATATATATCATTATGGGTGGCCAAACAGAGCCTTTCCTGAGAGCTTCCAGCTTTGTGGTGAGATTTTGTCCATATGTATCCAGTGCTGTCCTCTCAGACATAATTCATAAGTAGTGAGGGACTTGGGTTAAGTGCACCATGGGTGTGAATTGGGATTTCACATCCAGCCCTGGGATGGCATCATCCTGCAAGGCCGTCCCAGGTCCCAAAAAGCCATCAAAAGAGCCTTGTTGTGAGGCTATTGTGATGGTGGATCTCTTTTTTGAATGGATTTGGACTGTGACACCTTTCTGTGTGATGTCCCCAGAGCCTACAAGTGCACCTGGGGTGTAAGCACCTGCAAAGGTTGCACTATAAGTAAGGACAATCCCAGGCTCCAGATACTCTTGGCTTCCTGGCCCAGTTAGTTAGACTTGCATCTTGTCAAATCAAATCCTTGCCCAGCCACCTCCTGTGTTCAACCCGCCATCAAGACACGCCTACCTGTTCATGGTGCTCCCCTTGAAGGCACTCAGCTGCATCCTGGCCCTCCCCAGCTTGATTGGGGCGAGTTCTCCAGGGGCAGACCCCCCGCCAACGGGCTGCCTCCACTCCAACAGAATCCCGGAGACCAAGTCGATTCCCTGCCCTGCTACCTACACCTGCCACTCCGGCTACAGTCACCCATGCCCCAACTGGCTTAGGAGTCGTAGCCTACGCTGCGACAATTGCGGGGATGTCAAGTTGGATTACACCGAAGCATGCGAACGGGCCCCCCACGGCAAGAGCCCATGCTACTACACCACAGGTCGATATTTTTCATTTGACCGCGTTGGCTGGGCTGCGGAGTCAGAAACAGGTCAGACTTGACCTGTCTGCCCTGTATGTGACAGCAGGGACAGGCCAACACCAAGGATGGGTCAGCCAAACATAATTCTGACCCATCCGACCCAAGTGTCGGGCCAACACTCCTGACCCATGGTGTTGGCATGACACTTGGGTAGGACAGGGAGCCGCGGCTGACCCAGCCGACACAATATGGCCCTGATGAGCAGGCCAACGATGTCGGCCGGTTGAGCCCGCCTGAGATGATCGTCAGCTTGACCAGCAGTCAGGCTACGGTCCGACACACACAACCAGCCAACGAAGGCTTGTTTGAAGGAGCAAGCCAACACCGTCGGCTGGTTGAGCCTTTATCAAACGTTGGTTTGAGTCGGCTTGACCAAGGGTGGTAGTCTGACCAACAACTCAATAAAAAACACTTATTGATCAAGTGTTCTACACCTCTTTCCATGCATGAAAGAGGCTACATAGGACAAAAAAGTTTTAAAAAAATGGACTTAGAAAAAAAAAAAAGAAAGACTCACCAAAGATACCATGAAACAAAATAAAAACTGATTGATAGCCAACACAATTGCTCAGTCTGCATGACACCACGGACAATTGCATGTCGCTCCCGCGCGGAGCGACATCTGGGGGTTTCATTGGGGGTTTCGTGCGCAGTCACTGCGCCTACTGCCGCAGTCACGCACGCGGATTCGTCAAGGTGACGGTTACATCCGCGGCGACACGCAAATGACCGTGGTGTGAGTTATGACTGCTGGTGCAACAGTCAAGAGGGGCAGCTGGCTTGTATGGTAGCTGGCTTGTCTGGTGAGAGCCAGATGGAGAGTTCGAGCCTGGGGTGTGGTTCTTTTTTGGAATGCCACCATCAGAAGATCAGCTGACGTCGGCTTCGACGCAAGCCTTCTGTCAGAAGATTAGCCGACGGCGGGCTTTGACGCAAGCCTTTTGTCAAAAGGTCAGCCGACGGCGGACCTTTACGAAAAGCCGATGTTGGAAGATATGCCGACGATGGCTTCCGACACCTCCCGCTATGAGACATTGGGTCGGCCACCCAAATTTTTTGGTGGTGTCGGAAGGGTCGGGCCGACGGGTTTCATTACGTCTGCATCCAGTCGACCGGCATCTGTGGTGTACAAACAACACCGGGCATGACCAAGCCGAGAATCTCCCAGCCGCTGATACAGCGCACCTGGCGCCCAAACGGACCCCCTTTTTTTATTGTGCACCGCAGCTATGACCTGTCACTGGACTGTCAAGGGGACCCAGCCGGGATGTTGCGTATGTGACAGCCAGCCGCCACTCCACTTCCACTCCACCCCAGGAAGCACTGCATACACTCTCAATCAACTTACACCACTTCTTACCCCAATGTCATCATCAACAATCAAATTCTCACTCTCAACGAGCTCAAAGCATCCTCCTTCCGCATCATCCTCATCAGCAGCATCCAAACCAACAGCAAACAAACAAAAATCAAAATCAGTTCTAAATCGGTTTAATGATGAAGACGACGATGCTGATGAACAAGAACCTAAACACGCTCAAAATAACTTACAAAATCAAAAGAACAAGAAGAAATCGAATACCTTGATGCCAGTCGTTCCAACCTCAAGCTCCAAATTATCCCGACAACAGAAACTTGCGCAGGAAGAAGCCACTAAATTAGATTCTACAATCTTCGAATACGATCAAGTGTATGACCTCATGAAGCTTGCCGACAACAAAGCTAAACTAGAAAAGGAACAGAAAGGAGCCGAAAGAAAAGTGAGTTGAACGCCTATTTAACTCATACATATCCGATCTGAGTAGTTTCGCGGACTGAAATGCTCTCTTGATTCATATATTTCTCAAGCCACAATATATATCCGGATTGATCGAAACAGCCAAGCAGAGGAAGATAGATCGAGTTCGAGCGGAAGATAAGATGGTCCAACGCGAAAGAGAATTAGAAGGAGAAGAATTTGCGAACAAGGATGAATTCGTGACCCCGGCTTATTTGCAACAACAGAAGGAACTGCGCGAAGCTGAAGAGGCCGAAAAGCTGAAAGCGGAACAGACGCCCAATAAGCAAGTGATGACGACTTTCTATCAGAATATCCTAGAAGAAGAGTCGAAGCGACACGAAGCAGCCGTCAAAGCAGTAGCTGCAGCGGCAGCGACGACCAAAAAACCATCATCAAGCGCCATCTCCCTAGGTCTATCTGCTACGCTCTCGAACGCCAATCAAAATTCTGCCCAAAACTCTCAACAACCACAATACGATCCCGAGCCCGAAGCCGTGCCAAGCGAGACCAAGTTGGCAGCCGAGATTGGAAAAAAGTTGGGCAGAAAGGTCGATCTGGATGATGAAGGACGGATCGTCGATCACCGACAACTGCTCACCGGCGGATTGAATATCGGACCACCCAAGCTTGTGGGCCCCCAACAGCCCAAAAAGATCGGCTTTGCTTTGCCAATCGCCGAACGAAGAGCTCAAGAAGAACGAGAGAAAGAGGCCAACAGAAAGAGTAAAGAAGATCAAGACGCGGATCTCGATGAAGAGGATGGTTTGACTCAAGCTGAGAAAATTAAACTCTCAAGAGAGAGACAATCTAACTTGTTACAACAACAACTACTCGAATTGGAAAATAAGAAACGCAAAGCTGAGGAGGATTCTAGATTAGAGAACCTGAAGAAAGTCGCTAAACGAAACGATGAATCTAGGATCGAATTCCTCAAACAACAGGCTTTGAAACGGAGACAGGAACGACAAGCTGCACTCAAGGAATCCGAAACTCAAGCTCAATCATCTTGATCGCACAATATATGTTTTGTTGTTGTTGTCTTACTTTTGTTACTTCATTATTTTTGTCAGCACTTTGAGACGTAATGGTATGTTGAGAAGATTTCCAATTGTACGCAATAAGAAGAATTGCATCTCCAATTGAAATTAAAGCAAAATTTGTACTTTTTTCACAACCCCTGTTCCCTCCGTGCCTTCTCCATCTTGTGCTCTAGCTCAAGCTCTACGCAAGTCTCACTGCTGACAGCCCAACAGGGCTTTTTTTTTTGTTAAGGTATCAATCACCCCATATTCTTACATTTATCTTTTGTTGTAAACTGTATATTATCTCCATTTCTGTTTTGGTGACACTGACAGTAAAATATACTTCAACATTCAATTGTTTTGTTCTTTTTTTTGGATGACCTTTTTATTTTATTTCGGAAGGCTTGGTGTCCACATCGTCTAATAATGACATTTATATTCTCACTTTGCACACTTAAGCTAGGCCTCCATGAAGTTGAAATGATGTCTTGCCATGAAGGCTCACATAATTTAGCTCTGCAATGCATACTGCTTATGAAAATAAAACTGATTTCCTCCATGAACCCAAAAACAACACCCAAAATGTATATACAAAATTCAAAGACGAGATTTTAATTAAAAACGTAAACAGAAGGGAATAAAAAAAAAAAGAAAATCAAGCTGATGATGCCCAACAGAGATGAATGTAGAAATCAGGAAAGTCTTGGACGTTCGTGACGATGGGCCTCGACGATTTCGAGGTACTTTTGTCTTTGAAGCGGTTCACCATGAGCGATGTAAAACAGACTATTTTGGATATCAGCGGCCAACGGATTGGCGTCGAACATAGTGACGATGTGGACATTGGAATCGGCGGAAGGCGAGATTTCGAAGCGAGAATTATCGCTTGATAGCCGGACATGCGTCGTGATCACTTCCTTCACGCTTTCTTTCCTGAGACTGTCCTTGAGGATCACGTGTGCATATTGATCGATCGGACAGAAATCTCGCAAGGGCGCACCCGGTGGGATCATTAGTTCCGGGCGGTTCAGTTCAATCGCCTTTCTTCTTTCTGTCTCTATGGCTTTCATGATTGTATCCCATTTTTTCCCTTGACTGAATTGTAAAGTGTTCTCGAGTTTATTGATCCGCTCGTTAGATACCTCAAGTTGCATTGCCTCTTTCGCTTTCAACTCGCTAAGAGTATGCTCATCCTGTCTAGAGTCATCGATTCTGCTGTTGCGGAATAAGTCGTGACTTTTGGCGAGCAAATGGCCGAAAGTGCCTTGTCTAGGTGAGACTAGTCCGTGCAGTCCTTTGAATCCTCCGTAGGTATCTTCTACGTCGCGCGAAAGGGGTGCGAAGACCCTAGCGATTTCTTCGGCCACGATGGCGCCCAACTTGGAATTTTGGAGTCGTGGAGTGGTAATGACAGTTGGGAGATTGAGGGCAAGTAAGGCCTTTGAGGCTTCGAGATCCTTGCGAACGTTGAACTTGATCTCGAAGGATTCGTCTTTCGGCTCGAAACGTGTGAAGCCGGTCCAAACGATGGCAACTCTTTTCTCCGCTTTCGCTTCCACGATCAGGTCGGCCAATCCAGTGGGTGAACATTTAGTAACGATTGTTGTGAACTTATTCCTTTGTAGTCGCCGGAGCAACTGTTGCCTGGTCTTTTTAATTTCAGCTGCGAGTTCTTTGGCGTTGAAGCTTTCATGTCTTAACTCTTCCAACCTTCCACTCTTAGGGTCATATTCAGGGATCCCTTCTAGTTTATCAAACACGCCCAATCTATCATCTGGTGTGGCGCCGTGAATAGGCGAGATTATGGGCTTCTTTCTCTCAGCCACCTGGTGGAAGTTTTCCCATACCTTTTCAGTCAGATCTTTTCGGACCTTGTAGTATCCCCCTCGGTGGACCACCATCTCTGGGACAATTTGGTCTAGAGCCCCAAGCAAACTTTGCCAGTGATCGTCGCCCTCGCCATCCTCAATATATATCAAATGGCCGTTGTTCACCGATTCGGTGATCCGTTCACCAAGATCATCAAATCGTGCTTTCGAGCTTTGTAAAAACTCCTTGGCATTTGACTCTTTGTGGTTTCGCAATAGAGCCTGTCCTACCGGGGAAATCTCATTTCTAAATTATGATCGATCAAATCCCGAAGAGAAAATGATTTTTTTTGATGTGAGTTTCGCCGTGGTTCAATTAGAAACAGTAAAAAAAGTGCAGGGGGATTCTTTTTTTTTCTTTACCTTTGGGCCCCAGCATATTGCGCTTTGCACGTATCAGAAATGGGAATTTTTTACAATCAGTTCGGCTTTATGAATAGTACAGGGGGAGAGTTTGTTTACCTCGATGTGCCCCGCTTAAGGTAGAAATGCCTGTGGAATTCAGAATCAAGAATTACGGGAAAAAATATCACGTGGGGGGGAGGAGAATAGTCAGCTCAACTCATTGATTCATGATTTCTACTAGAGCCAATAAAAAGAGAGGAAAATTTATGAAAATTTTGATCCAAGAGTGTCATGAAAACAACTGAATCGGCTTTAATAGAGACACTTTGGCAATCATTCTCGCGAGAAAAATGAACGGTAGCTATGTACTAGCCATGAAAGGACTGATTCCAATCCGGATCTGAAGATGATAAATAGAGCATGGATGGAAGGAAATTTGGGAAGAAACAGTGCTGGAATGGAAGAAAATTTGACTGTCTTACCATCATAAGTTGTCATAGCAACAACAGTTGAAATATCCCGCCCATGGAAAAGTTGTAGGGCAATTTGAAGAACAATAATATTGAGACGCATTTCGAGCACGTTTGGTATTATTAGATGAAGGTGTAGGAAAGGAATTTAAATATTTGTAGGGCTCTTATTGAAGCACCGACTGAAGGACAGACTGAGCTGGAATGATGGGACCAAGGAGCTGGCATAGGCAGTTTTTGTATTGCCCCAGCCAGTGCAGACTCCAGGCCGGCCGGCCCAATGCTTGAGTAGTGGAATACTGATAACATAACATAAGCTTCAACAAAACAAATTGTTCGTCCGAAACATGCAAGACCTTTTTTTTCTTCTTCTTGTTTGAGGATGACTGCATTGTAGAACACATAGGCTCGGCGCGCTGAAATGCGAAATGCGAAATTGTAAGCAAAGACCACGTTTGTACTGAAGCTGGTACCGAAGCTGGCACCGGGGCGATCATAAATGCATCAGTCAACACTCGATCGTTTCTTCGGGAGTCTTACGACCGGTGCTGATTTGCCTTTTTTTTAACATCCCCGGAGGATGATCAGTCGTTTCGGCGACAGTGCCTCCATGAGTTGGAGTCTGGAGAGTTTCGACTTCGAATTTCTGGGCGTAAATGATCTCAAATAACCATCGGAATGGGTTTGATCTCTTCTAAAAATCTCTTGGCTCTATATGGCGTGTCCAGATCCTGTCGGCCCGGGCCTCCCGAAATCAAAGGGACCTTTTCAGGGCGGAGATGCCGGGATTTCCGAGCCTGGTTTCCGAATTGGCGTGCCAGTTTCCTGGTTGCCCGTCCGACAAAGACTCTATACTATAAGAAACTCGCGACCCGGGGCCGAAGAGATGGAGTGACACTAAAACTTTGTTCTGTGTACACATCTATTCACACGTTATGGCGGTAGTTCTGGATGATGTTCGAGCTGATGTACCTCGTGGCAACCGTACCACTCGGCCGCTCCCTCCGAACCATAAACTTCATGAAGTATGAAGCTGTTGTCCCCGGCCCGAGAACCTGAGACGACCTATCCCCTGTATGCATCGTCTTATAAATAAAGATTTTACTTGTCTGTTTTTCTATATTTATGTGACAGAGCCAGGTTATTAATTCATCCGAGGGTTCGGTGACGGTCCGATTATATGCGGCCGGGTGGACACTCTGCCGGAAGCCGGTTGCGGAACCGGCCAGATTCAGTGAGTCTGGGAATCTTTGTACATAGACACAACAGTGGCTACACGAGGTGGTCCGAGCAGCAGAACTATCCCAACACCAGTATATAGATGGACACCAGGGGCTCGCCTTCATTGCTTGATGTATGACGAGTCAGTGGATTCCTCAAACTCAGTTGAAACTTTAAGCAAACACATCTTCATGGGTTTTGTGATCTGATCATCTTTGTGCATAACAAGTTATGTCTGGATCATCAAACAGCTTTATTCTTGACCCCTATGACGCCCGAAACACTTATAGGAAAGTCTGTGGATACTTCTAACAGCTATGTATGGGCCATTCACGACTGGAAAGCCTAGAGGGGAAAACAAATGACAAGGGAGTGTCATATGTTTGGTTTGCGCGAACCCAATATATCTATAGGTTTTTGCCAAACTCATTTTCTCTGATTTTACATATGATTGTAGAAGTACAAGAGAAAACCAGAAATGTTGGTAGATTACAATTTGAAATGGAGGACACTGTGATTGGGGTTATTTTTGAAAGCGTTTGTGCAAGAGCGAGACTGAAAAGCATATATTCTACAAATTTGGACAGTGGACTTGGGAGCACAAGAAAAAGAGTGTCGAGAGATTAGATAAAGCTAAGAACCCTAATTTCTTCGTTGAGTCTAGCGGTGTTAGCGTTCGGATCGAGGTCCTCCCAGATCCACAGACTGACGATTTTTTCCGAGTCAGATCCGATCCAACCGACGCTCCGAGTTTCGAGCAGCGAAGATGCAGACGAGTCGACGGAGCGAACGTCGACGGCTTCTGAGCCTTCCCACACCTTGACTCCGTCCATCGCCCCACTCACACAACGCCCATTTTCGTCGACCGTTATCGAGCCGATTCGGGACGTGTGACCGAACAGAGTCTTCGAGCACAACAACCGTTTTATCCGGTGGTCACTCGCATCATCATCGGAAACAGACGCCAGTCGGAAACAGTCGATCGTGTTGTCCGATCGCCCAACAATCACGTTCTCGGCCGCTTGCTCAATCCCGATCACGATCTCTCCCAAACTCAAGCCGGCCATGGGTCGACGATCTTTATCTTGCGGATGTTGGAAGGCGGTGATAAATCGATTGGTGTTCATTTGTAGAGACGTAGTGGATGAGGAGGCGGATGAAGATCGGGAAGAAGTGATTTCAAAGTCGAACTCTTGCATGCCAACGGTCCAAGCCGAAGGATAAAACGGCATTGGATAAGCAATCGTCATATTGAAGCGCTCGCTCGACGGTTCAGAGCGTTTGAGACTCAGTGACAGGGGCCAATAACAACTGTGGTTTTGCATGTCTAAGGCTAGCTTGATGATTTGCAGTTTTTCTGTCGGTTGGGCTGGTGATGAAGACCAGGATAGACGGAAGAAGCTTAGATGAAAGTCCACCGAGCATGTGACCAACAGGGGGAAGTGGAACTTGGCCGTCTCGACTAATCCATGATGAACCTTCCGTGAGTTGGATATTTTGGATGTCAAGTACGGCTGAAATGATCCGACCTCTTGAAAATCGAGTACTATGGGATCGCCAGTATCTGGTGAGACATCAGGAAGGCTGATTTCATAGAGAGTGAATTGACCGGTGGTGTAAAACACCGACAATAAAACTGTAGATTTCACAGCTTGAGTTGTCTCAGAATTGGTGCCGCAGGATTCGTCAATGCTGATTTCAGTTACTGCCTGTCCAATAAACGGGGAGACATCCTGGGATCCCAAAGCAGGCGAAAGTTTCCCGATTAGAACTGATTTCTTCTGTTGTTGGTGGTTGAAATCATTCTGAAGATTGTAAACGTAAACGGTTGGAAGAGATTCAGAAGACCTAGATTTCCGAGCGATGAACAGCAGGGAGCGATGGAATCGAACAATCGTATTGGGTGTTGGGTTCTTAGAACCTTGAGATCGAGTGGTGGTTGTCCGAGCTTGAGAGGAAGTTGAGATGGGAGGGCTGTCAGATTGATTGAGGATAGGCGTGATGCGAGTCAATCCAGCAGATCCCCTTTTCCAATTCCAGCTGATCCGACAGAGCGTCTTCCAGGTATGACCCAGATGGGATTCTTGATCGATTGTAACTTCTAAATGCTTCCTTTTCCCTTTTCGATCCAGTTGAGATCGAGAAGCTCTTGATTCCATTGACCCACGTAATCTTTGATCGAGCGCCGGTGAAAAGGGATGTTTGAGTCTGTCGACAGTAAACAGAGAGTGGTAAATTCTTCGCCATAGCTATATTTGTTTTTGATGTGTCCAGAAAAAGAGTTCATGGATTCGAAAATTTAGCAAAGATGGCAATCGATAATTTTCGCTTGGGTTAGGTAACCGAATGAAACAGAAGCAGAAGAAGAAGAAGGTAAACGAAGTACCGCATACTTGAGGTTCTTCACATAGTCGATTGAACCTTTGAGAGACCCGAGAGGCTGTGAGTAGTTCGCTGATCGTAAGATACGAAAGGATTTCGAGCAGGACCTCTTCGCTTAAGGTGTGGATGTGAGTAGAAGTGGTAGGACGGAGCCGGGAGGCTGCTGGAGGATACTGAGATGAGCTTGAGGACATGTTGGTTCTGATTTTGAGGATAGCATGAATATTTTTCGAAATGGTTGCAGCTGGAGATTTGGGTAGTTTCACAGCAAACTCGGATCGACCAAGACTGCAACCAAGTCTGAGCAGGGGGCCTACCCTGACCCCCCTCGCCCGCCACCAGAGGCAGGGAGGGGCCTGATCAAGAGAGACCTCCATTCAGAGGAACTGCTCCAGAGATCACATGAAACTGGATTTCTGAAGAACAGTAACAATCATAAGATTTGATTAATCTTTACAAAAATGTAAGAAATCCTGATCACCACTTTCTTCCAGTGTCGACAGAAGGATTTCAAGCATCATGATTATGAAGAACAATGGGGAAAAGTAATCTTATTCTGACTCTTCAAACCTATGTTCCAGGGAATCACTCCCAAGTATCATAAATTTTGAATAATTATACAATCTGTAAGTTGTGAATATTAGTACAATCAGCTTGCTTCTTGGAATCTCTTGCTCAATCTTTCTACACCATAAAAATCTCCGAGCCCTCCATAGCCTACTCCCAGTCCCACTCATCTCATATCTTATTTTGAAAACATCAAAACCAAAATATATGCCCCAAAGGACACTGTAAAAGCCCCATCTTTATCCCTTTGTTTTACACCAAAACACACCCTGACCCCACCAAACCTGTGGCTTGCAGTCAGCATATATAGAAGTGTACACTCTTGCAATTACCACTCCTGATAGTCTGAGGAACAAAACAAGATTACTCAGATTTTCCCAATTGTAGGATTTTTGAGTTATTGAGTGAAAATACTAAAAAAAAGGGGAGATAAACCTCTGTTACCATTCAAATATCCACTTATAGTGTTTGTGGATAATGCAAAACCATCCCAAAAAAACATCTTTGGTTATTTTAGTGGAAAAATTGTAAAATCTTTTACATTTTTTATGCTACTATCATAGGTAATCTAGCTTCCAAGTAGTGTTACTAAACAAATGTGATAGTGGGAGTGAGAAAGATGAATATTTTTGGGCTTTTAGTGATGAGCAGAGTAGGAATAACAAGATTTAAGCAGACACTTGAACTTTTCCAAAATAAATTTGGGTTAATTAATTCAGGAAATGTACAAGAATAGCTTAACCAAGCTTAAGAAGTAGGGGGACAGAAAAATACCTCCTGTTTTCTAGCCTCCAACTCCCAACAACTATTAGTCAACAGTTGTTGACATTTGGGGGCTGGGAAAAGGAAGTCATCTTCATTGAACTACAGCCAAATCCAGAATTTATATGGGCTTTGTGCTGTGGAAACAATGATAGTCAAATTTGAATCTAGAAATTTAAACCTAATTGTAGAACATTATAAATCTTAGTTCCTTCTCTCTTATGTTTGGTTTTCATTCATATCAGTTCAACACATCTTCATTTGTCCCATCATCAACACCCACAGCTATGCCTTGGATTAATTCCATTTTCTTTCTCTTTATTCATTTTAAATTGTACCTGTTTCTTGACTCATTGCTGTTTGTGTTTCTACAATATCAAGTGTACACATACTCTTCTATACTAGACTCTTCTGCTTGTGTGTACATACTGACAAAATTATGTTGCTCTTAAGGTCTTATGGCTAGCTTGTCTATTAGTTTTCTCAACCCCAATAAAGTATGGGTCAAATTTGGCATGTCAGAAAGTGATTTTTAAGACTCCAATAAACACAATCCATCTTTGTAAATAACTAAACACCAAAAAAGAAAACCCAAATTGTAAATAACCTTGGTGCCCATAATGGACATGTCTCGTCTTGATAACCATCACCTCTAATGATTTTTTTTCTCCCAAAATCAATGATTGATCGATAGAAAAACTTTTCAAACCATGTATGTAGTTTGGAAAGTCTATCTCTAGATTTTCTGTCCATCTCTGAAGATCTGCACTAAAAGGCACTCTCAATATACCAAATTTTCAGCTTGGAAAATCAATTATTTTCAAGGAATTAAGCCTTTTGAATCCTTTTTTGTCTCCTGTGGTCATGTATGTTTTTTCAAATTTCAAATTCTTTGAAATATTTGAAAAATTCTTTGAAAGTCTATGAAGAGTGTTAAAGAAAATCCCATTAAACCAACAGCAAAAGGAACATGTTCACGATTCATCAAGTGATTAGGCAGAGTCAGAGGATGATCACTGGTAAAAAAAATGAAAATGCTCCCTGCCAAAGTGGACTTTTTGCCTCGCTAAAGAATTTAATTTATACACAAGTCCATGTGCGGCTTCGCTACCACTACCAGTGTCAGTGCTATATTGAATTCCTTGGAGCGTTTGAATAGTTAAAGGTTGACACATGGTTCATATTTTGCTATACTTTGGACCAAAATAACTAGATAGAGAAAAGGTGCACAGAGAATCCGTTCCCCATGAGGAAAAGCAGAGCCATCTTTTGTAAGATAGGCAAATTGATTAGTTGAAATGGAAAATATTTGGACGCTAACGTGGGTTGTGGTATGCTGCAATGAACACGACAAGTCTCTCTCAATGGTACTCACGGCTGAGATTAATTCAAATCAAGATACAAAGCGTTTCAATTCAAATCAAAAAAAAAATTAATACACATCAAACTTTTGTTACTTCTGATGTTCCAACCGATGAATATTACGCCTGATGGGCTTTATTTGGTAAAGCTACGTTAAAAATTACAAATTTTCAGTACTACAATCAAGCCACGGGCACAAGATACTGATCAATTTTGAAGTATGAATGAAGATCCTAAACTTCTTGAACAATCGATGATGATAGCAATTAATGGAATTGGAATGGGTAAAACCGATTTGATCTTAAGGTTCAAGCAACCGAAAAATTGAAGAGAATTAGCCAGGAAACCCAGCTCAGAGAATCATATCTGTTGGGAACGGTAACAGAAGCGTCAGTATTGGACATCAAAAAATCTATCTCAAAAAGCATACTCGTGAAACTGACAATTATAGGTCGCACTCCCAAATTTCACTCACGTCCAAACACATTGGTTTCGCATGAGGCGGCAAGGGACTTAAGGCCTCCATGTTGGATTTCTCGGTTTCGATCCAGCTGAAGGACAATCCAAAGTTTGACTGCCCATTTATTTCAGAATCATTGCTTTCTGAGAAGGGAGACCTAAATTGATTGGTCGCATTTGCATCACTGAAATTTCGTTCTTCAACCTGTGCTTCTGGAGAGCTCCCAGTTGCTGTGGGTGATGCAGAGCGGGCGAAATGATGCGAAAGTATTTCTGGCGAGAAAAACGGGAAATGAGCTGAGTTGATACTCATAGAAGAGAGAGATGAATATTCGTCCGAGTTCGGGGCAACGGAGTTAGAATCGCTGCTAGTACTTGCACTCGTCTTTCGTGGTTGAATTCGATCGCTAGCCATAAATGGATTGGAAGCAGGAAAGAATTCCGAAGGAACTACTGATAAGGTGGATGCGGAGAACTGATCTACATCTCCGTGACTGTTGTGCTTATTAGGGGTATCGAAGACTTCGGCGGGCCAAAAAGAAGCCAAATTGACCGAAGATGGTGCAAAGAAATTGTTCTCCGTCTTAGAGGCAAATTCAAGTTGGGGACTTCGGTTGAGCTTTTGCGGGCTACTTGCCCAAGCGTTTGTCGGAGGGTCCCTAGCACCATCCCCCATTGGTGGTGTGGTATTTCGTGATAACCAATTTGAGGTCGGAGGTTTGGATTCCACGGGCACGGAGCTCATCTCAGGAGAGGAAGTTTGCCCGTACAAGCTCTCAGCAGGACGAGCCTTCTGGTCTATAAGCTCCGCCGAAGTGTTGGAGCGGGAAGCCTGGTGATTATAAGCCAGCTGTGCTGGGTGCAAAACAGCACTCCTTGCCCCTGGTGGCCGTAAATGGGAGGCAAAGCTCGGACCCCGTTGATCATCACTACTCCAACTTTTAAAAAATTTGTGTTCATGCAGACGATGAGATGAATCAGAGGTATCGATTCCAGCCCCATGGAGGGACGAGTAGTCGATACTGTGCCTCGCAAGGAAAGGCTTATTACAGGCCGACTCGAGCGTTGGTACCATTGGACCAGGTGTCGTTGTAGGTGGATGCGGATGTGGCATAACTAAGCCTCTGGAAAGTGATGAGATTGGTATAACGGATTGTCGGCGTCGGGTATGGCTTTGACTCCGGAGAGTAAAGTTTTCGTTCCGCAATCTGAAATTAGACAACGCAATGAGCTAAGTTCCAGTTGCTCGCTGGCGAGTGTCAGATGAATTGCTTTGCTTACTCTGTGATCAAACGGTGCAGTCTGCGTATCTCATTTTGCTGTTGCTGTAGTTTCAATGCTTGAGCCGCCTCTTGCTGCTGTCGGCGCTCTCGGAGTTGCCTCTGAGCTATTCGATTTTGCTCCTTCCGTCGCTGAAGTTGGAGCATTGAAGCAAGAGCCACGCATTTCAGGAGGTGTAAATTCAGACAAATCAAAGGAAAATGATAAACGAACCTCTGAGCTGCGCTGGCCGTACGGGGGAAGTCCTGGTGTATCTACTAAAGCTGTTACGTACCCAGGAAAAAAACAGGTCATGTCAATAACAAAGTCTTTCTTCGAAGTCTTCTACACCCTGGATGAATTTGTTTACGGAAATAAGCGTGAAAGACAGCACAGGAAGCTTCCAGGGCATACTGAGGCCAAAACTTACGCTGGCGAGGCATTGGAAAATGGATCAAGTGGGATCTACGGATTTAAGGATCTCTGGCGAATAATTCAAACTTCTCTAAAACAATCGAAGAACTACTATATTAGGGGTATTGCTTTTCAAAGCTTGATTGCGGCTACTTGGAATAGATTAGAGACCCCAGAGTTGAGGTGTCAGAAGTTTTCTTGCCGGAAAGCGAGAGCAGTAACAACAGATATTGTGGAAAAAAAGGGCTACGTTGATCCGTGAGATCAAGCTCTGAGAATGACCAAATAAGCTACCATATCGATGTACTATTTATTGGTTCTACCGCCCGGCCCTTCGAACGGTGAAGGGGATGAGGCAAAACTTACAGATTGCACTCAACCCAACCTTCTGGGGGTCCATCCTCGCCGCTCTGAGCCCGATGGTAACTGCACACCAGAGGTCCCCGAAACGGAGTAGGCGTTAGTGCAACTGGAACATGACGCTTTGAATGTCGTTGCAGTCTGAGTGTATATTCCTTTCTTGCCTCGGCATCCCCACCCACCGTCAGTCAATTGTTTTCTATCAGCTCCAAGGTCACCACATCAGATTACGTAGACATCTCGCTTTCTTGACATATCAAAACGAGTGGAAGAAAACGGGTTCTTTGCAACAACCTTAATCCAACAACACTTGTTGATTAACTTGCTTTGAATAGCAACAGATTGGTTGATGAATATGTATCTTCCAGCCATCTGAAGTCTTCTCAAGTTTCCTAAAATTCCTCGAAAACCAATCGAGCGATCGTCAACTGATCATCGGTCTAACAGCTTGGAGTGACCCGTTGCCGAGATACGAACTAATCAGCATTTCTCCCTCAGAAGCACAGTCAGCAAGGTGGTTGCACGGGGCGGCCCTCACCCATGCAACTGACCAAGCAAACACAATGGCAAGCGAAAATACGAATGCTGGTTTCTACCCCTCATCTTGGAACCAACGGGTTCTCAGCTGAGATTTCAAAAGATGTTGCGAGGTGACATTCCAAATGCATAAGAGTACAATGGATTGTAATTCTGGTAAGATGTACATGGCGTTCGAGTCCTCATTCTAGCAACTACAAAATCCTTTGAATACTAGAGGCAATCTCTCGAAGTTTAGCGCAATCCTTCGCGGAATGCGTTTCCAAGGTTCTTTACAGGGACTAGCATGCACAAACTTCTCAGCAGATACATATCGATCTCTCGCAGAAACAGAAAGGATTTTCGAAGTTGGGTATTGAAATTTTTATTCTTCTGGTCCCCGTGACAAATTCAAAGGTATGTATAATTGAAAGAGAATGTCGCAATTGGGTTCAGATACTGCATTATCTGCACCTATAGAGTACAGTTTAAACATATATGCCCCTAAGCCCCGCGCGCGAGAGGCTTCAAAGGGTCTTTAGTTTACGGGTATTTTGAGGACTTTGGGGGATTTTGGGAAGGAGAAGTGGCCCGCATTTCCCCTCATTACCCCAAAAATTCAACCCGGACTCCTTGACTAGAACCTTTGCCTACCTTTGAATCTTCCTCGACCGTTACGTATTTCTCATTCCACTCCTAAAAGTAAAGACTGCAACAGGTGCAATGGAAGCACTCCATAAACGTGGACTGAGGAACAACGTTCAGTGCACTTCAAAGGTTCTTTGGGCAAGTTTTTCAGCACAGGACACACATTTCCAAGTGCAAAATTCTGTATGGTAAGTATGCTTGTATTATGTAGATGAAAGAGAAAGACATTTGTACTCGCAAGAAGAGAAAAAAAACGGTTTTTTTTTTGGCTTTACTCCTAAAAGCAAATGCTTAGGGTGAGGATCTGGAAGGGTAGAAAAGCCATCAGCCGAGCAATGACGGAAAATCAATTGTAAGAAGATATGATTGAAATCAGGAAAAAAGAATCGGTAAATCATCATGAAGACAATCGAAGTTAACGAGTAATGTGGCTGCGATGTGGATCGTCTAGCGTTTAAACATCGCCTTTAGTTTGACAAGATGATCTGAGTTTTCCCTGTTCTAACCTGTAGATCTAATTCTCTATTATTGTCGTAGCATTGCGTCGTCCTGTGCCCTTGGGTTTCGGGGCGTTTTCGTTACGGAATCTCAGCCCAGGCATGTTGAGCTATTCTGAAAACCATCATCTAGACCCATTCAATCATACATTCATAGGACACTGGAGTGAAAGTAGAAGAAGTATACACTGGAGTAGCAACGAGTAATGATTTTTTGGACGTAACAATCTTCAGAACATAATAGTCGCAATGGCCTATAAAGCGCGGTGCTAAGTGAGATGCATACATATGCTGAGTTAGCTTGTAGATCAAACTCGATAACGCTTCTGGCTGTCTTGCAAATTATCCCGCTCTGCTCACAATCACTTGCCTGCATGGGAGCCGCGATACCAATTTTCATATACTCACGTAGAGGAACAGTGTTCAAGATTCTGCATGAAGCGGCTTAAAACAATCATTGGTGTCCGGTTCTCGAATATTTTGCGAGAAAATTGTGCAGGAATGAAACCTGACACAAGATTATGCCCCGGTTTCCATCGGGGTGCTCTGTTACTAGGTAAGCCAAGATGGGGGAGAACGGATAAATGCCAAAGCATTCATGCTGAGGTATCTCGAAATTAAAAAGGAAATGACGCGATGCCTTGATGGAGCTGAAGTACTATAAATAGATATAGGGTCGCGGCTGAGCTAGCGACTTCTTTTACCGACTGCGTGTAGATCAGACCGAGGGTGACGTTGAACTTGATGGAGTCCACTCGGAGGCGGGCGTTTGGCGCCCAGGACGGACTGAGTTGAGTCCCAGGCGAACCCTACTACTGATTGGGACTGATTTTTGGTCCGACTTGTTGAGGGTTGCAACCGGAAAGTAAGAGGCGTACATACTTCAGATAACAGTGCTGTGAATAGTGAACAAGTCTCTATTTTTCGCCTGAAACACCCAAGGCTCACGGGTAATACTAAATAGCTCATGATCTAATAGGCGATTTTGTGATCATCGGATCCTAGTCGTTCCACTTTTACCAGATTTGAACCTACAGGGAGGACGTTGTCTGACTTTGCCACCTCTGCCATAGGTTTTCACTAAGCTAGAATGTGTACATTCTAAACTTGTTGAATTCCCGAAGCTGGTGTGTAAAGATTTTTCCCACAACCTTGCAATAAATCCGTGCTTTTTGAAGAGAACTTCATCCAGCTTGAAAGGGAAATCGGGGGGTCTCACTCTCAGTGGGATAGAGAATAGATCAAAGGGACCTTCGATGTTACAAAGTCATTTGATCAAAAGAAATTCGACATTATCATTCTCCGGCAAATAACTTCAACGCCAGCGCGGATCTTGAACAGTTTAAAAATAATAGCAAGATGATCGGTAAAGCAGTCCTTGTATGGTTTAGCATTTTGCAAGCAATCTCGAACGTCGACAGCCAATCTGCAAGCAGATTCGAAGCGGAGCCTAACCTACCTCTCGAAATCCAAACTTGTACAGTTGGAAAAGGCTGCAAAAGAATTCCAGGAAGCATAACTTTGGATGCTAATTGGCGCTCAGTAAAGGATTTGAGTGGACGACGGGATTGTTTCAATGGCACGGCTTGGGACAAATCTCTCTGTCCTGATCCGGAAACGTGTGCCAAGAATTGTGCTCTTGGAACCATCGATTACGAAAAAGAAAAAATCGCCACCCATGGTAACTTGGTCAATCTTAAATTGTTCAAAGACAACGGGCGAGATGGATCAAGAATTTATCTTCTGGACGCACAAGATCGATACCAAGTTTTTTTTCTCTTGAACAAAGAATTATCCTTCGATGTAGACGTGTCTAGATCTTCATGTGGAGTAGCGGGCGGGATTTACTTTTCTGCGATGAAACCCGACGGCGGGAAATCAAGCACTAACCAAGCCGGATCCAAGTATGGGACAGGCTATTGTGATGCACAAGGGCCCAGGGACATGCATTTTGTCGAAGGAAGGGTTGGTTATTTCTCAGCATTGTACCTTTTCCTGGTTTAATTACTAAGAACTGGATATCACTGATGATTTTCCGCTTTCCTTGATTTCTTAGGCAAACCTAGCCATAGGGACCGCTGGCGGGGAAGGCGAAGTTGGCTACGCTTGCCCAGAGTTGGACGTATGGGAGGCAAATTCGATTTCTCAAGCTTTTACAGTGCACAATTGCCAAGACGCGAAGGCTACGGTTTGTCGGGGGGAGAAATGTCGCGGATTGTGCGATGGGCCCGGATGTGATTTTGCGTCTTTTCGAATGGGCAACACCAGCTTCTATGGGCCAACAAAAACTGTCGATACAACTAAAAAATTTACCGTCGTAACTCAATTCATCACCTCCGATAACACCGACAACGGGGAACTGGTGGAGATACGGAGATTTTACAAACAGGGTGGTCGAATAATTCAAAACAGTAAAGTGAACCTCCCGAACGCTTCGCCCTTCGATTCCATAACAAATCAATTTTGTGATCAAATCGAAACAATATTTGGACGTTCGGGCGGTTTTCGAAAACTTGGTGGACTTGGGAAGATGGGAGCTGCGATGCGTAATGGAATGGTTCTAGTGATGACAATTTGGGCCGATAAGGTTCGAGGGATGAGCTGGTTAGACGGCGAGAATTCGGATAAAACTCATCAAAAACCTGGTTCAGCGAGAGGAACTTGCCCGCCAGGTGCTGGCCAGCCATCCAACATGAAGAAGCACAACCCAGATGCTGCTGTTGAGTTTTCAGACATTCGGGTGGGTCCGATCGAGTCAAACTTCAACTTCAAGCCACAGGCTATGTAGCCCGAAGAAAATGCTCAGTGGTTTCAAAAGATTCTCATGTCAGGAATTTGATCTTGTTTGTTCATGTTGAAAATCTGTGCAAGCAACTGAACATTACACAATTGTTATCAGTAGAATGTACGGATAAAGCGTTTGCACAAAGATAGGATTTGCACATTTTATTCTCATTTCTCTGACATTCTATCACCATGAGGCCCTACTTAGACCCTTTCTAGTTAGTAGTAGTACATAGCCTTCAGTCCTGCAAGTGAAGCATCTCGACCATGTGTTATACATTCTGAGTGCTCACTGACACAAGTCATTCCAACGAAATCTCATCCTTATATCTAATCAAACCAAATTTGAAACTCATTAGGCCATTTACCTCCACCAGTAAGAGCTGCTAAGGAGAGCTAGCCTGCAGGTTTAAATTCCAAAAGTGAAGCTATACTCCAACTATTCATTTAAAAAACTTACTTTTGGTCATTGAAGCAATAGTGTTATTCAACTGCATTGACATTGCAACCGGTGTGGCTTGGGATTTCAGGTAGATTTTGTTTGTTTTGCCGCAAGTAACTTCCATACCATTGAATTGAGACAGTCATTGTGATGGTGTGAGTGGATGTTGGCCACAAGCATTGGAAAAGCTACCACAAGCACACACAGAAAGCTGGTAAATGGTCCAAGCTGCAAGGTTTTCTGGGAATGCTTTTCAAGCCTGTTTTATTTTCACAAGACTCCCAGCAAGGCCTTTCATTATAAACACACCAAAAAATGAATCAAAAAATGGGTGAAAACCAAAACCAAAACAACAATTACACCCTCTGGGAATCCAAGATTCACCATAAACATCTCCACCTTTTTTTAACATTGGCAACCAACTACTTGATGAATATTCTGTAAAAATGGTTGAATCAATGCTTTATAGAAATAATATTATAAAACTCAATAGAAGTACTAATCTTAACAAAAGATAATGATAAGTAAATATGATCAAACATCTGATAAAAAACAATAAAGAAATGAAAGAAAAAATACCTGATGAATGAGATCAGAATGCAACAAAGTTAAAATACAAAAACACAACAACATCCTCTTCTTTAACACAAGGATTATCACAACAAAATAGCCTGAAAATATAACATAAGAAATGGTCAACTTGTAACAATCAATGAGAGTGTAACTAGAGATGGCAATGGGTACCCGTTTGCGGGTACCTGTTCTTTGGAGCGGGTACCCGCCCGTGGGTGCTGGGTGCGGGTGCGGGTGTTGAGTTTTGGGACAAAAAACGGTGGGTACCCAGGTACCCACCTTGACACCCGCCCTGACACCCGCCCTGGGAATACAGTTTTGGGCGTTTTGGGCTGCACAAAGGTGTCAGCAAACTATGTAGGACACCATTTGGTGTCCTACATGGGCCTGTTGAGGCCAGAGGGAACCCTCCAGCCTTCAAGATGATAGATCAGAGAGAAGATAAAGTGCAAATTAGTTATAGGATATTTTGTTCTTCTTTATTTCTTTATTTTTATGTTCTTACTCATATATCTAGTGAATATCAATCATACATTTGGTAAGTCATGCAGAAATTCAAGGGTGAGATTTCTGGGTATATTTGCCTGCAAAAATGTGCCAGGTACCCGCAGGTACCCGGGTACCCGCCCCTGGCAGCCCTAGCAGGTGCGGGTGTCAAAAATATTGGATTTTTGAGGCAGGTACCCGCACCCGCTACAGGTACCCGGGTATCGAGCGCCATCTCTAAGTGTAACATAAAAACGTGCTACCTGCCCAGAAGCTAGATCTAGCTCCTCCTGAATGTTAGAAGTGGTTGGTTGATGAGTCAAGTATTGGAACTTGATTGATCAGCAATTGAATAGGACCTCAGGTGATTTTGATTGATGATGATTGATATTGTGGTGAGAAACTGACAAAGAAGGGAAAATTGAAAATGATTGGCGGAGAATGTGGCTGCTTGTAGAAGAGAGGTATGACACAATTGATCTGGCTGTCATGAAGAACATTGACAAGAATGAAGAGATGCATAATTGACTATGAATAGAATGTGTGAGGTTGGATTTCACAACATATTACAATTCTGCACCCTCAAAAGTGTGGCAAAAAATATTTAAATCAAAATATTCCTTTGGAAATAAGCTGCCCAGGGCCCCAGGAAAAGCATACAAAAAATCCAGTTGTGGTTCAGGTTCCAAATGGGCCGGGTTCGGGTCAAAAAATGGTGACCAAACCTGCCCTGCCAAATTCTAGGGGTGGGGCGGGTCGGGGCAAAAATGGCAAAATGTTGACCAAACCCAGCCCAAATACACAGTGCTTTGGGTCGGGTCAGGTCCAGGTCAACCCAGAAAATGATCAGTTAATTCCTTTCAATAAGGTCAGTCAGTCAATCTCAATCCATCCTGATCATACCTGCCCCCCCCCCCCCAACCCATTGGGTTGAATCTGGGTCCGGTCAATTTCCAACCCTGGCCTGCTCAAACCCGCCCTGTGACCCGGCGGGTCGACCCAACCCACTTGGATTCTGAGTTGTGGTAGTACACACAGAAAATTTAGTGTTTTCCGCAACTTGCGTAGTGTTTCCAGGTTGTAAAAAACTTGGTGTATGATATGTGCAGAAAAGTAGAGATCGTTTGTTTGCATTTGGGTACCTGTTGAATTTTTTTAGAAAATAGGTACCAAGCACCGCACCAGGCACTTCCTGGCGGGTTCCGGAGGTACTTTTGGCAGGTACCTCCCCTCTCTTCCTCACTTAGTTTGACTGCAAGGTTCATTAAAATCCTTTTGCATTTTGTTTGAGTTTTTTTTGGGGATTTTTTGTGACTATCATTTTATTTTAATAACATAAAAAATAAATTCAAAAACAATTGAAAAGAATTTCAAAAAAAAAAACTGTTTGTAATTGCTGAAAAAAAAAGAAAATTCTGGTCAATGAGGCACATCCTCTTTGACCAGAAGGAATCCCTTCCGGTTAACAAGGCAATGTGCCTCATTGATCAGAAGGGTTTCCTTCCAATCAATGAGGCACATCCTTGTTGACCAGAAGGATTTCATCCCGTTTGATGAGGTAGATGTACCTCATTGACCGAAGGAAACTCTTCTGATTGATGAGGTACATCTACCTCATTGACCGGAAGGAAACCCTTCCGGTCAAGACTCAATATGGGGGCGGTACCCTGACCAGCACCCAGCATGGCCAGGCGGGTCTGGGCGGTACCCGCCAAGCGTTACTAGGTACCTAGCAAAGGGTACCGTGGAGAAATCTCTACTATGGCATCACAAGAATTCTTCCAGAGTTGTTACGCTGCTGCTAGGGGTTTGTTCAGAATAGGGGCCCATTGTTGTTTGTAGTGGGGAGAGTTGCAAGAAAGACCTGTGATACTCGGGGGGTTGTGTAAGTGTTGCTATATTTAGCAACTTGCCATCTCCCGAGAGGCTCATTGTGATTTTCTAGGGGAGGCTCTGCTAAATCAGCCTTGGTTTTCTATAATTATTATAGCAACTCTTTGTGGAGAAGCTCTTACGCTCCACTCATTCTGTGGTGAGTGTAACTGGTCCATTGTGGATTTCAGACTAGAGTTTGGAACATCTGATTACCTGGGGCACTTCAGATCTATTCCACAGGTACTGGCAGACACACTTTGACTTGACTCTGCAGAAATCATTGAGGCTCCTGATTCATAACCACACACCACCTCCCTTTGCGCACACCAAACTGCACGCCAGCCGCAGATTGGTTTGCGGCCCACACACCAATCTGCAGCAGTGTAGATTGTTGTGCATGCCTGCACACCAATCTCCCTCCCATAGGACTTTAATTTAAATTCAATTTGGCTTACAAAAAGAAAGGAAACACTCAACTTATCCTTGAAAGTTAGCCAATTTATCCATAGGGAAGCTATATTTGTTGAGTGGCACCTTAGCAATTTTAAGGAACCTGAGGAATCCCAATTTTCTGGGCAAATGGACAAGGTACCTTGTCCAGCAGAAGGCTTGCCTTCCAATGGACGACGTATATCCTCGTCCATCTGAAGGTTTTCCCCTTCTGGTCGACAATGATGTACCTTGTCAACCTAGAGAGCAATACAAGAACAGGCCAAGAGGGAACCCCTCTCCAACCTGAGACTGTACAAGGTCTCAAGGCCAAGAGTGATTCCTCTCGGCCTTGAGCCACTTGAGCCATGTATGGTCTCAAGGCTGGGAGGAACCCCTCCCAGCCCAAGACTTTTTTTTCTCTTTTTTTTTGAAATCCTCCCTCCCATAGGACCCATTCCTGGGTCCTATGGGAGGGAGATTGGCGTGCAGGCCTGTACGCCAACTGCACAACAATCTACACTGCTTCGGATTGATGTGCGGGCCTGCACACCAATTTGCTTTGACGTGCGGGCGCGCACGCCAATCTGCGTCTGGCGTGCAGTTTGGAGTGCACAAGGGGGGATGGCTTGCGCCTATCATTCCCCTGATTCATGGATCAATAGTCATCAGTGTAACACAGTCACCTCACTAATATTCCAAGTCATTATATAGTAGATGCACAAATTGGTACACGGCAAGATCAGGTTTTTGATTGATGGAAAATTCCATAAGTTAGAATGAAAAAGGAAAAGAGGCTATAAGAGCAAGAAGGGTCCAAAATTCCATCAATCCCAACCAGAAGGGGTGTGTTGGGATTTTTTTTTTTTCGATATTGATGGCCCATTGCAACTTTTTTTTCTTTCCCAATGAATCCCACATGTGAAAAAAAACTGTCCTATGCAACAAAACAAGGAAAAATCAGGGAAAATCCCTGTAAACAATAAGCCCCGGGGTTTTGGGGTTGCATGAAGCCCATCCCGATTCCTGAACCCTGGGGCTTGGGACCAGGGCAGCCCTAGAATCCCATAGCTCAGGACCATCCCTTAGAGTCAGGATGAAAGTGGGTCGGGTCGACCCGGTTACTACCCGTGACCCGGCTCTAAACGGGTCGGATCCGGGCAGCATTTGAGCTTGGTTCTGAGAGACATGACCCGACCCG